TACTTAACTTTCTAATCAATTCCCTCCCTTAAAGCTTGGTTAACTTTCTAATCAGTTTTTTTTTTTTAAATTTTGATCCACGCATTAAATTGTAACTATCTAAATCAATTTTTTTTTTTAATTTTGTAAAAAAATATCTTATATCTAAGTTAATAATCCAAACCGGTAAAATTTAGTTCAAACTTTTGAAAATTATAATGTAATTAAAAGTAAGATCTATACATAATAATAAAATGCGTATAAAAGACAAAACTTAATGTGATTTAATTTTATCTATCTTCAAAGATGAAATAAATGAAAATCAATTGTAAACGTGTAGATTACAAATGAGATAAATATATGAAATTTATTGTATCTCGTATTCTAATATATATTTTAATATCCTATTTATATATAAAAAAAAACACTTGGTCAATGTCTATGAAAAACCTATATCAGCAACCAAAATCCTAATAATTATAGATATAGAAAAATTATATTTTCCTAATTTCATAATTCTAAAGGTCATGAATATTTAATAATATCTTTTTTTTAATAAAAATTATAATTAATTCAATCATAAAATCATCTTTATTTACTAAAATTATAATAAAATGTAACTTGATTAAAATCCCAAAGGTCATCATTCTCTTGTGGAACCCTTCTCTCCATTTTCTGTCTTTTCATTAGAGCACCTAGGATCTCCCTTCTTAGTGTTTGTCCTAATTGCCTTAAGCCTTCATTAATTTGCAAAGAAACCTCCTCATCATCAAAGCTTTTATTTATATTAACTCAACCTACCAAATGAGTATTTCTACAAAGGACAAGGTAGGGCTATATATGAAATCAAAGTAGGTGTTTATTTATTGATATAATGAGATTATATATTAGATCTCTTTACTAAGATTAGGAGTACAAATTTTAATATCCAATCTAAATTATAAGATAGTTTTTGTTCAGAATAAAACAAATTAGACTAAGAGAGTCATACTCATAATGGTTCATTACAATACCCAATCTAGAGTATAAGGTAGTATATGTTTAGAATTTTCCTTAACCTATTGACAACGTACACTCACCCTACAGATGTAACTGCTCAAACCAAAATCTCTCAAAGAAAATAAAATTTCTTTTTACCATAGACAGCGTTGTAGGTTGACCTACACTTACACCTTCATTAAGTTTTGCTCATTATAATGAAAGCCCACTCTTGAGTCATTTATAATATTGTGAACAATTAATCCACTTAACTCATTTTACTAATTATTATCTCCTTCATGCGTGACTTGAAAGCAATTACAAGCTATCAGCCACTACAAACCCAATGACAAAAACTCTCAATATCACTTTTTCAGTCGAAGAATAATTATATTTATCAAGATGGAATTCAGATAGTATCGATAAAATTGATCAAAATAATATTTTGGATTAAAAATACTCTATTTAAAGTGTTAAAAAAATTTAGCTAGCCTAAATATTACCGTGCTCGATAGAAGATGTTTGAAAGATTTGACGACTTCTAGAAAACGTTCAAAACATTCAATGAATTCTAAAAAATTTCATGGAAGACACGGCACGGCGTCTTTTGATAAGACAGTTTTTGAACATGTATATAACTTGAAGAAGTCGTTCAGTCTTTCGGACATCTTTCATAGGACATTGCAACTCACAATAGATGAGAAAATAATTTTTCTAACACCTTATATAAAAAAAAAATTCCAAAACATTAATTGGCGAATTTTACCGAAAAAATCTATTCAACAATTCAAATAGTTGATAAAGATATTAAATATCATTTCTTTAATAGTTGATTATTAAAATCAAAATTTTAAATTTTCGATAAAGTACATTCAACATTGAATTTTTTAAAGTTATAAAATAATTATTAAATTTATCAAATGATTAAAAATAATTATTAATTTTCATCAAATTATTATAACGTCACAATTTATGATCATTTTATGATTTTTAAAAGTTTGGTAACTGAAATGAACACTTGAGCATAGTTCAATGACCTCTGATATATTTTACCGCAGAATTTAATAGCCACAAATATTTGTTTAAAAGAGAAGTGACACGCGGCATGTAATTAGAAAGTGGGTCGGAATATTGATGGAATTAGTACTTTAATTGGCACCAAATGTTTGATCTAATCTATATATGATAGGGAAGCATGTATCAATATATCCCCTCACTACACTCGTTACATGCCTCACTTCTAGTATAATTATCGGTTTTCGATTTATTAATAATTAATACGGCTCAAAAAGTTGTAGAGGTGAGGACAATATTCCTAACCCAATTTACCCCATTCTCAAATGTCAAGATTCAAATCTCTGACCTTTACTTAGAGATCTGCCTCATCCCACTAGATCAATTAATTATTGATTCTATGCCTCACTTCTAATTGTTTTTCAACTCACCTTTTATGCGAAAACGATTTTCACTAGCAATAAGAGTTTGAGGGCTAAAATGAATAAACTAGTAAAATTGAGGGGCCAACAAAGTCATCATACCTAATTATATTAAGGAAGTCGGACTTTTCACTTCTAATCCAAAACTTGAAAATTTGATCAGATCAACTTAGAGTTATACACAATCCAGATCAATTTACCTCAATGGTTCCAAATTTAAATTAACGACTTAAACTCGAAATGTTCCGAATATGAAGTGATCAAAACTTGAATTGAATTAAACAATGATTTAGCTCGAAAAATTTAAACCTCAAAACTTAAATGACATAAACCCAAAATTAATCCGAATCAAAATAACAAAATTTAAAAAATCGAATTAACATTATCCAAAGCAAACACTACCCACCTAATTGATTTGTCTCACCAAAGTGTTTAATTACACCTATATGGGAAAGGAATCTCCATTATTAGTTCATGTAAATTTAAGAAATGCATAAGGTTGTTTTTGCATGAACTTGTCTTACAAACAAATGTCAGAGTTTGACTCCGATTTTATGTAGCACAGATACATAGATACTAAGAGTGAGGGTTAAATATCAAGTTTTTCTGTCTTCAAATCCTTTTGTATTATTTTTCCTTAATATTAATAAAATTTTCTTCTTTTGCCCATGATTTTTTTATAAAGGGTTTTTCACATTAAATCTCGGTGTTCTTTTTGTTTACAATTATTCTACATTTATTATTATCATCGTAACAACAAAAATGAATTGCATATCAAAATCAATTGCTTTCTTTTGAAAGAAAACCTTTTGATTATCTTCTAGATATGGAAGGGGAAGCGAATCTCAAGCATTATGCAAAGCTTTGCAAGATTTGACAATGCCGCGTTCTTATCTAATAAGCAACCAATGGAAGAAGAAATTGAACTTAATGCACTTCTATTTTCCTCCATGTTCCATTGAGGAATCAGGACAACATTGCTGAAATGCAAGCCAATGTTGAAAGGCACCAAGAGAAGGCAGAAAAAAAGGAAAGATAAGGCTGATGATGGAAAGCTCGAATAATTGCATTTAATTTAACTATGACATGTCGTTTTCAATCGATTTAGAAATATTTTTTTAGGGTAAGTATACACATATACATTAAAAATATTAAAGTTCTTGTATGAAGTGAATACAAATAAGATTTTAGGCTAAGTACAATCAATAAAATATATAATAATTACTCAAAAAAAATTGAATATTAAGGTGAACAGTTATCTACCCTTGCTAAGATATCAATCCGTCACTGTTTTCAAAGAGAAGAGAAGATGATAAAACATGTTCATCAAGTGCATTATTAGGGAGTATTTGAACTCATAAAGGTTGGCGGTTCACCGAATCACAAAGCAAGGAATTACATGAGTTGGATGGTGACAGAATGCCGTTTCGTTGTCAAAACTTTAGATGAAAATGGGACATAAGCACTAAGTTTTTATCATCCAAAGTTGGAAAGTTTTAGGGCAGACACAAGAGAGTAGTGATTGATACTGTGCGAAATTAGGAATTTATTAAAAAGGATTAAAATATTTAAATTTTTTCAGAAAAAAAATTCAATTGAGGGAAGTCTGGTAAATTCTTTTTTTTTTCTTCTTAAAAATATTTTTTTAATATTAATTAATATTAAAATTTTTGACAGGAACCCAAACTCATGATGATCCGTGCCTATGACTACTGTTGAGTGTTATGGCCTCCTTGAACATCTGCATCTTTTGTTTATGGAAATACAAATAACTATCATGACCCCAGGCCTAACACCGGTATATAAGATATCATGTATGGTTGAGAAGGGATCTTGAACTCCCTCTCTTCCGGATCTCTCTACACTGACTATGCATTATCTTCTTTTTCAGTTCATTAGAACCATTGACGACTCTCCACCTATACTAGAAGAAGTGATCCGTTTACGACCGTCGATAATAATAATTGGAATATTTAATTAAAATATTTTAAATTTTAAAGATGATTTTAAGATCTCGAAAGATCTTTGGGTCAACTAACACTTAATCTTAAAAAACAAATACTTTTTAGAGTTAATGATACAAAGTAAATGGCCATTATAGAAATGCTAGCCTTTAGAAAAGTCAAGCTCATTAGAAAGAAATAAAGAAAATAGAAGGCAAAATACCACTAATATTTAGCATGCTGGCATCATGGTGTTCACTTTAACTCGTTCCTATATAGTGATTTACATAGCTTTCCATGATGATGGGTTTCAAATAACTTAGGCACATAATATTCTCATATGCACATAGACTATGAGATTAAGAATAAATTAAAAATATTAAAACAACCTATTAAGCGGTTTTAGTGGTAAAAGAGGATGTTGTTTTTCGTAGAAGTTCAAGATTCGAGTAGCTGGTGTGGACCTCTAACTCGCCGTTAATCAATAATATCCACATCAACAACGCCGTTTATTTTTAACGGCAAGTGGCTACATTAAAACCATTTAAATAGTTATGCAGTTATATTGCCAAAATTATAAGTATGGTGGTCATATCAACACCAATCTCTTTTGAATTTTACCTCTATATATGGTATACTAAACATCAATAAGCTTCTTTCTTCTATCATCCAATTCAAAAGCACATAACCATGTTACCTCAATTTGTCACATTCTTCTTCTATCTACTTATATACTCATCTCTGTTAGTCTCCTCTGCATCTGCATCTGCACCAGCACCTCTCCCTCTCCCTATGGTTTCCCTTCTCTCCTTAAAATCCTCCCTCAATGACCCTCTCTCCACTCTCAAAGATTGGGACCCTTCCGCCGCATTTTCCGATCCTAATTCCGATGAGCCGGCTTGGTGTTCATGGTCAGGAATCAAATGCAATCAAGAAACATCTCAACTCATATCTCTTGATCTCTCTGCTCGAAATCTCTCCGGAAGTATCCCGCCGGAGATCGGATTCTTGACTAGCTTAGTCCACTTGAATTTGAGCCGAAACAACTTCAATGGACCTCTCCAGCCAGCCCTTTTTCACCTTACTCAACTTATGACTCTCGACATAAGCCACAACTCCTTCAATGCCACATTCCCACCCGGTGCTTCCAAGCTTAAGTTCCTCAAAATCTTTAATGCATACAGCAATAGTTTCACCGGATCCTTGCCGCTAGACTTGGTACGGTTACGGTTCTTGGAGCAGCTCAATCTTGGTGGTAGCTACTTTGAAGGTGTGGTACCAGTTGTCTATGGAAGCTTCACGAGATTAAAGTTGCTTGACTTGGCAGGGAATGCCTTGGAAGGCATGTTACCGTCTGAACTGGGATTCTTGAACCAGATTGAGCATATAGAGATTGGCTACAATGCTTTCACTGGCACAATACCAGTGGAATTTGCATTCTTGTCCAATCTCAAGTACTTGGACATCTCGAATTGTTCGCTTTCGGGTACACTTCCTAAAGAACTTGGTGATTTAACCAAGCTGGAAGCTTTGTATTTGTTTAAGAACAAGTTTATAGGTGAAATCCCTGTGAGTTACACAAAGCTGAAAGCTTTGAAGGTTCTTGATTTATCTGGCAACCAACTCAGTGGCACAATCCCAGAAGAGTTGGCTTCTTTGACTGAGTTAACATGGTTGAGCTTAATCGACAACAATCTTTCCGGCACTATCCCGCAAGGCATCGGTGAGTTACCAAATCTCAACACATTACTTCTGTGGGATAACATGTTCAGCGGCATTCTCCCACAGAAGCTAGGTTCAAATGGGAAGTTGCTGTCTCTTGATGTCTCATCCAACTCTCTAACCGGTCCGATCCCTCGGAATCTTTGCCATGGAAACAAGCTTTTCAAACTAATCCTTTTCAATAACATGTTCACGCATGAGCTTCCCGGAAGCCTTGTGAAGTGCACATCGCTTTCGAGGTTCCGAATCCAGAACAATCTTCTCAATGGTAGCATCCCACATGGCTTTGGACTCTTGAAAAATTTAACATTTGTGGATGTGAGTATGAACAAATTTACAGGCAAGATTCCTCGTGATCTTGGTCATGCACCATTGTTGCAGTACCTTAACATCTCAGAGAACTCTTTCGACCATGAATTACTGAACGAAATATGGAGTGCACCTACCCTGCAAATTTTCTCAGCAAGCTCATCCAAGCTCATAGGTAAAATCCCAGATTTCGTTGGCTGTAACAACGTGTACAAGATCGAGCTCCAAGGTAATTTGCTAAACGGAAGCATCCCTTCGGACATTGATCACTGTCGAAAGCTTTTGTCTTTGAATTTAAGCCGCAATCTGCTTACGGGGATGATTCCATTGGAGTTATCGTTGCTTCCTTCCATAAATTCGGTTGATCTTTCTGGTAATTTACTCACCGGAACCATCCCTTCGAGCTTTGAAAACTGTAGCACTTTGGAAATTTTCAATGTTTCCTACAATTTGTTATCCGGTCCAATCCCATCGTCCGGACCAACATTTCATAATTTACACCCTTCCTCGTTTTCCGGCAACGATGGATTCTGTGGCACGATTGTATCTAAACTGTGCCCCGCGGAGGCAATGGATACAGGTGAAGTAAAAGGTGGTGATAACAAGCAGCAGCAGCAGCCTAAGAAAACGGCTGGAGCTATAATTTGGATTGTGGCAGCTGCATTGTGCATTTCTTTATTTGTTCTCGTGGCAGTGACCCGCAGTTTACATTACAGCCATAGATTCAGCGACAACCGGGATATCGAACAGTGGAAACTGACCTCCTTCCAGCGGTTGAATTTCACGGCTGATGATGTGCTGGAGTGTCTGTCAATGACAGATGAGATCATAGGGATGGGTTCGACAGGAACGGTATACAAAGCTGAGATGCCAGGAGGCGAAATCATAGCGGTGAAGAAGTTGTGGTGTAAGCAAAAAGACACTGTGAGACGGCGGCGAGGGGCTTTACCTGAGGTGGAGGTGTTGGGGAACGTCAGGCATCGTAACATAGTGAGATTGCTAGGATGTTGCAGCAACAGGGAGCGCACCATGCTACTTTATGAATACATGCCAAATGGGAACCTGGATGACTTGTTGCATGGCAACATAAATAAAGGGGACAATTTGGTGGGTGATTGGTTGACTAGGTACAAAATTGCTCTCGGGGTGGCTCAAGGTATTTGTTATCTCCACCACGACTGTGATCCAGTCATCGTCCACCGTGATCTTAAACCGAGTAACATTTTATTAGACGGTGAGATGGAAGCTAGAGTGGCGGATTTCGGGGTAGCGAAGTTGATCCAAGACGACGAGTCCATGTCAGTCATTGCTGGCTCCTATGGCTACATTGCTCCAGGTACGGTTTTTTTTCATTCAATTACGGTTCATTTATATTCATAAAAGAAAAATCGAACTTAAGACAGATTGAGACAAACCATTTGCTTGTTTTGTTTTTGGTAGAATATGCATACACCCTACAAGTTGATGAAAAAAGTGATATCTATAGTTTCGGAGTGGTGTTAATGGAGATTTTAAGTGGAAAAAGATCGGTGGATTCGGAGTTCGGTGATGGAAACAACATTGTAGATTGGGTGAGGTCTAAGCTCAAGAGCAAAGATGGAGCTGTTGAGATTTTGGATAGAAATGCAGGGGCAACATGTGCATCGGTCAGGGAAGAGATGATGCAGATGCTTAGAATTGCAGTGTTATGTACCGGCCGAAACCCGGCGGACCGCCCGTCAATGAGGGATGTTGTGTCGATGCTGCAAGAAGCTAAGCCAAACCGGAAACTAATGCAGGAGAGTGTGGTAGTTAATGGAAGCAATGTGGTTGATGGCACTCGAGATTCTATAGCAGAAAAGGCTATACCGGAATGTTAATTTTGTGATTAGTTTTCTTCATGTAAGGTGTTGGAGAAATGAATTTTTTCAACTAAGTGTTTGTTATAGTATTTGGAGAATTCTTCAAGACTACACGGACGATCTTTTTGAAAGAAAGGCATGCAATTCAATTAACACAATGAAACAGGTAAATCATCTAAAACCACATAAACAGACATCTCGGGACAAACCGAGTCAAAGAACAATGTATTATTAGACCGAAGCTTAGCTGCTTGGATGAGATGTACACGTAGACTCTGCTCGGACAACAAAACTTGTGGAGGGACCAAAATGACAACATTTTCCATTTGTTCCGAACACTGTTTCTCTTGTTCCACCATGCTTACAAGTTCAGTGACTAAATAAAGCAGTTTCTCCACCGGCTGTGAGAGGATGTCTATAATACTGCTTTCTATGCCTTCCATGACCTCAATGGCTGCACTTATGGCTTCATGCATGGACTTCACGTCGGCCTGTAATAGAATTATATATCGTTAATACATTAAATTTTCTTTCTCGAATCAAATCAGAACACAAGCTTGTAATAGAATTATATATTCATTCTCGAATCGAATCGGAAAGATATATATATAAATACCTTGGTTTCTTGAATTAAGGGGACTCGAACTAGGATTGCCGAGAGTTTCCGAATCACTCTACTGACTGCTTCGAAGTTTTTGGCTTCAAGCTTCAACCATTCATTGAGTAGGCGTAGCTGTGGGCCAACGATTTCACGTAGTTTGATCTCATGATTGAGTTTCTCAAGTAGAATTCTCTTTTCCAAAGTGGAGTTCCTTATTTTTAGGATTCTCACCCACACACCAAATAATTTGTCCTGAAATGTAAATAGTAAAAAAATTATAATTATTTTAGGAAAAAAATATTATATAATCTAAAAACCAAACCTAATTATTCGAATCTTATTTTAAGCGTAAAAAGTTAATTGTTAGAATATGGTTAATTTGAACTCGAAAATGGTTCAAACTCATTATTTTCTGTTAAAAAGTGATAATTGTTTGAGTTGGACGTTAACTTATTGATTGAGATATGATAAAATTATATTTTGATGATATCTACAGATTATATTTTAAGCGTAAAAAGACTATATGTTTATATATATATATATATAATATATATATATATATATATATATATAAATAATCCTATGAGCCGAACCCAAACTTATCTAAAGAAGACATCCGTGGCGAATTGTTGATACCTGAGCATCTATATTCACAGCGGCCATGGCAACCTCAGCTGTAGCATTAGTAAACCTCCATTGCAACATCCTGTTATACACAACTCGAAATTGATGATACTCTTCTTCTTGTATGGGTGACACCTTCTTCTTCTGGCTGAAATACTTTAAAACCCCGCTTACGCCGCCGCCTTTGGAGCACTTACCCCTTACCTCAGTCGTCCTACAAGAAGACCCTTGCGGCTCCATCGCCGCCATCAACGGTGAAGTCCTACCCGGAGACAATGCCCATGCGGACGGAGAATTCGTGACCGGTTTTGATGATCCCTTTGTTTTCGAACTTCCTCGCTGCAGGAACCTAACGAACCCATCTCTAGTAGTACTCTCTTGATGATTACTCTTCTTTTGCATGCTCGATAGGATGGCCGTGGGGTTGATATTCTCTCCGTTTGTTAGGGTTCTCAACCTCGTCACTTCAACCTATTAACATGGACGGACACAAGATTATATATTAGGAATGTAATTTTAAAATTTACAAAAAAAGACGATAATATAAAAAATATTTAAAATATATGATAATTTAAAATCTTCCTGACGAGTGTCATAATTATGCTCATTCAATCTATCCATACCTGTTAGTCATTCTTGGGGTCGAGTTGATCACCGACGGTTTCCTTTTTAGGGCTGTGGTTCCACTTCGGCTCCGCAGACTAAGTATAAGTTGAGAGCACGTTGATGGGGGAATAAATTAATATGTATTGATGAAATGTATGGCAATAGTAAGCAAAGTTGGTGAGGAGAAGACTATTTTCCCTCATGTCAAGCCTTCCACGAACAAGGAATATTGGTTACGACCTGCCAAAAATTCCTATCAAATTAATTAAATATTATATAATATATATCAGAATTAGGTACATCCTCTTACGTTGGTATTTAAATAAATTTTTATCTCATACACGATATTTGGACCAATTCTATCATGTGTAAATAATGATGTCATGGTGTATTTTTTAAGGGTAATCTTTATCCTTTTGAAAATCATAGTTCACATTTAGTTTTGTTTCATTTTAATATTTTGTTGTTAAAAACTTAACGGACGGGCTGACGTAGCATAGCTTCAGTGGACGGACGACCAATCCGAACGATGTACCACTAGAGAATGACGAGTCAACCAACATATTTCAGTTACAAGCCCATCGGACGGTGGACCATGGAGATCGGAGGATGAAGAAATCGAAGAGTCTATTCTTCAATTTGGGGAGACTGAAGCTTTTCCCGATAAAATGGAGACCAAAATCTCGTTCAATGGGTCAAAAAGGTGCAGCCTGGAAAGTTTGGGCTTCATTGGCCGACTATCTCGTCCATTAAGTTTTTAACGGTACTAAAGTGAAATAAAAATTAAACTTTAGGTACTAAAACGGATAAAAACTGATAATTTATGTACTAAATGTGTAGTTTATCCTTTTTATTTAAATTTTGTAACAGAAAATTAAAATAAATCTTTAAGACAAAAAAATTAAGTTACAATCTCGAATGTCATAAGTTTAAGGCTTAAAACATTCAAAATTTTGTTTTTTATATGAATTTTAAAAATATAAAAGATATGTATGAGTTTAAAGTTGAAGTTTCATAGTAAAATATTATTATAAAAAAAATAAAGTCATGAACAATGTTGTATCAATTAAAAAAAATTCAATGACATGTATTTGAGCTATTAAAAATTATCACTCAAATTACGAACACAATGAGAAGAGAACAAATGAAAACAATGAAAAGGGAGACTGAAATATAATAATTTTATACAAAAAAATGAAATTTTATTTTGTAATAAAAATAAAATAGATAATTTTAAATTTGATGATTTGATATAATTCTATCTATCATTGAATGTAACATACTCAACTCCAAGTAAAACCATTTCATAGCCTCTTTGATACCATTGAACATAATCAATATAGTTGACAGCATTTACTCAAGCTTTCTATCTTCCTCGTGTTCTCTTTTTCCTTTTTTTTGCTTGTTTCATTTTTGTTAGGATTTTTAATTTTAGTGTTTATATATATATATATATATAATCCTAATCCTAGAGGAGAGAGGAAGGTAGAACTCTAGGGGAAGAAAAGGGAGTGCTCCTAGCGGGTCTAAAACTCATAACCTAAAGAAAAGGGAGCAACTTGGCCAACTGGTAAAATATACTTGCTCTTATATATATATCACATAAACAATTAAACATGTATAAAATTATCACGTTAACAATAAATGTTGATTGTTAGTCAACTAACAATTTTTATAGAAAATTATCATTTTGACCGAAATTGAAAAGTTAAGGGCTAAAGTCCTTAAAAAAATATGGGTTAAAGTAATTGTTTAGACAAACATTAAAAGTGAAATTTGGTATTATTCTGTTTTCATGTGTTGTTGGTAGTCAAGGAGAAAAGGGAGCCCTTTAGAGCTAAGGGTAAAAGTTTGCCCATTGAAGGGTGAGGAAGAAGTTGAGTATTGGGACTTGGAAAGTAATACTCATTTTATCTCAAATTACTTCATGACTATTATAATGTGTATTAGTGTGCTTTGTTGGTCTTTTAATGATAATTGTAGTTTTGATGTATCTAAATCTCGTTTTAAGTAACTAGAAAGTTTATTTTGATGTGTAAAACTTGGTTCCGGAACCAAGGGTTTAGATATAAGATTTTTGAGCTATTTTGGGTCGATTTGGCTTAAGCAACTTTTTTTAACCTAGACTAGATTATCTAATGCTCCTAAAGTGCTGCTAATATGTACAAGATACCCCCTAAGTTCAATTTAATAGGTCACAAATTTTAAAAGTGACCAAAATGCCTCTAATACTAAATGTTAGATTGGAGGGTCGAAAACATATATGATGTCCTCGCATAGACCATTATGTATATAAATATTTCTAATATGGCCTAATTTGAAGTTCTAAGTGTTAAAATAACTAAAATACTTTTATATTATAAAAAATACCAAAATATTCCAAAGGCTTAATTAATGGGCGTGAAGAATTATTAAAATACTCCCCCGTACGAATTAGTAAGACTCAACACTTTAAATCACGAGAAATGACCGAAATGACCTTAATGCTTAATAATTGGGCTTAAAGGCCCTAAAGTCTTATACAGAGACAAAATTACCTCGAGGGTTAATAATCATAAGGTTAGTTCCTTATTTGAGCTTAAGTAAATAATAACAATAAGTCTTAATAATAATTTGATTAATATACTGTTAGAGTCGGAGGAGAAGTGTAACATCCTCCATACCGGGTTAGTGATCAAATTGTGAAATTATAAAATTCAGTGACCAAAGTAGATAAATTGAATAGTTGAAAGATTTAATGGGAATGTTTTGTATAGGATCAATTAACAAAGAAGGAGGAACTAAAGGGGTAAAGGAGTCTTTTAATAGGGGAAATAATTAAATATTAGATGAGGATATTTAAATCCACGTGGAAGGCAAATGAAGAGAACAAAAGTTTCCAGATTTCTCTTCTTCTTCACTTCTTCTTTCTCCATCGAGAGACCAAGCTAAAGGTGAGTTTTCTTGTTGATTAAATTCTTGATGAATTTAAGGTTTCTTATTGATCCTTAGTTGATAACTAAGCTTAAGGAAAGCTTAGATTATCTTAAAACCATAAGATGAGGAGAATATGAAGAATCAAAGAAAGGAAGTAGAAAAGTGAAATCTTGGATTAGAGTTCCTAATAAGAATTAGAAGTGGAATTTGACTTGTCATAAAGCTAACTAAGAAGTATGAGGTGTTAGAATTCAAATTAGAACATGTTGGAATTTGAGTTAGATTCTTAAATTTTACATGGAGAATTAGATTTTTAAGTTTCAAAAGTATGGAATGGATAATAATTAGTTTAAGTAAGAGTATGCAAGTTAAGGATATATAAAGAGGGGAAATATAAAGTGTTAAGTAGACTAAGAAGAGATTTTCGTGCTAAAATGACAATTCTGGGCAATGTGCATCGATGCACATTCATTGTGCACCGATGCATCGATGATAAATCCCAGAAATTGTTTAAGGTGCATCGATGCACATGCAGTGCATCGATGCATTAATTTAAAAAGAAAACATCGAATAGGATTTATGCAAATGGCTTTTCCTTTAGCCTAAGAAATGATAGTTTAGAATATATTAATTAGTATACTGATAAGTATCAATGAATTACTATGTAGATATCGAGCCTAAACGAGTTCCGGAACAATCAACAAGTAGGATCAATCGAGGGAAAGACAAAGAAATCTAGGTGAGTGCATATGCATAGCATGAATATGTATTTTATTCAGTTCTAGACTTGTGATAAGTCTAGATTCAATATTTTGATACATGATAGTATTTCATATTATGATATATGACATGAATCCATACCATATGCATTATGGGACATGAATATGCAAGAAAAAGTTATATGAGTTATGTGATAAAGTATGAAAATAGTCTACGTGATACAAATAAGATAAATTGTGAAAGCTCATGTTATGTAAATAAGAACTATAGGTATAGTTGGCATGCCAAGGGTAGAGGGTCTATGTGGTCCTTCAAGACATATATGTATTATTTGGAACATGTGTGAGGTCTGGTGAGACACATACTTGATCCTTGGCATGTGTATATGATTCTTAAGGAATGATATGTGGTCCTTATGGACATTATTATATGGCACTACGGTGCAATTCTACGCGGCACTCCGGTGCAATTCTACGTGGCACTTAGGTGCAATTATATGAGCTGTGGTGACAACATAGTGCACAACCTCACAATACTCACATACCTTAGGTTCTCTGTACGGTACCATGGGCTAATGAACTTACTAAGGCGAACTTATGAATGTGAATTTGATAAGTATATGTGTAAGAAACATGGTTCTGGTTATTACATTGTTTACATACATCTTATCATTGCAACCCATCTTATTTTGGCAATTACTTTATATTTATCGATATTATTATTATATTGCCTCACTAAGTCGATGACTTAGCGTGTGAGTGTTTCACACGTAGGATCTGATAAAGTAGACGATCGAGGTTAAGCAGCTGGACAACATTACTCTTGCAACTATCAGATCAGAAGCAACTTAATCAGTAGGTCATTTTGTTATGAAAATGGATATTGGCATGTAACTAAAGAGTTAAGTTGTGTATGCTCTGAATATTTTGGTAAACTTATATTACCATATGTATATTATTGTATTTTTCTTAATATAAGTTCAAATATTTTGTTATTATTTGTAATGAGTTGTGTTTTAAAAGTCAATGTAATATCTCTGACTCGTATCTGGGTTGGATACGGGTTGTGAGTGTTACATTTAATGGTATCAGAGCTATGGTTTAGCCGATTCTAGGCATAAACCAGAGTCTATAGAGTCTTTAAATGGAATGCATGCCAACAAATAGTGAGAATTTCTGATGATCTGGTATAGTACGAGTATGCTGTTTTGCTAATAGAACAATGTGTTT